AGAGAGAGAGAGAGACATTTCACAGACAGACAGACAGACAGACAGACAGACAAGTAGAGCCTTGTATTAATATGAAATTATTTTTTTAATAAATAAAAAAAAAAAAAATACTAAAGAACTTCGGATCATCAATCTAATCGTTCTTTTTCTATTATATCAATATATTTGCACACACACACAAATGTGAACACACAAACATATATATATATATATATATATATATATATATATATATATATATAAAATATATTTATATAATAAAAATTTTTTCAATGATAATTGCCCATTTTTTAATGCATTATAATTTCATAAACATTTTTTACAATTTTTTTAAATGTATAACTCTGACGGTAAAAATTTAAAAATTATAATTTATATATATATATATATATATATATATATATATATATATATATATATATATATATATATAATATGTATATATGTGTGTGTGTGTGTGTGTGTGTGTTATGTGTATAAATTAAAAATAAATATAATGTGTAATATATTATATATATTATTATTTATATATTATATGTCATTTTTTATACTTATTTGCCTGACGATCGCAAAAGCATTTTCTTTTAGGGTCAAGAACTCTCACATCAATCCAACTATATATATATATATATATATATATATATATATATATATATATATATATATATATATATATTTATAGCATAATGAGAACCAAATTTTTGAAAATAATAATGTTCTTTTTTATGAAAGTATTTATTTATTTGTATATATATATATATATATATATATATATATATTTTGATATTTCAGATTGGCCTCAATTTGTCTTTTTTTACAAACAGTTTTTCTGAAAATTTTTAAATTGCAAATTTTATATATATATATATATATATATATATATATATATATATATGCGTGGGTTTTTTCTGTATAATTCACTTGTGCTAACACGAATGGCTACTTCTTCGTTCTGATGAATGTATGAAGAAAATGTCTGTTCGTTTTTCTTTTTCCTTATTTTGTATTTTTAGCGAATCGACGAGGGTTTCCCTTGTCGTCATTCCTATTTTGGAAGTAATCAACTGCCACGTGTCTGGCTGAGAACCTCTGCGTAGGTGTTTCTCTTTTCTTTGTGTGTCTGTCTGTTCGTCTTGGCGACATTCATTCTTACAATCTGTTCAACAGAATGTAAGCGGAGAATGCAAACAGACGGGCTATCATTTGTTTGGCTCTTAACGAGAATTAATTTTTGTGTGTAGACCTTCTTCTTCGTCTTCTTCTTCTTCTTCTTCTTCTTCTTCTTCTTCTTCTTCCGTTCGTTTTGTTTGCTTTTCTTACTTGCTTTTTTCCTTTCTTCCGTTGGCCTTACGTAACTATTTATTGTACTCAACTGTTATTCATACCGCCCTCATATATATATATATGTGTATGTATGTATATAATATTAGTGGTTAATATACAGATTTAAATACTTTAGAATTTGTAATAAAGGCTTCATAGAACATAAAACCAGAAACCGTTGTCAACACATTCAAAAGATGCGGTATTTGCAATGCAATGGATGCTTTTGAAGATGATACGCTATATGACTCTGACAATGAAGGCGAAGCCGACTCAACGGATTTAAACTGGGTCCCCTATGAGGAAATTGTAAATAACGATGTTTATGATGAGTTCCAACCAAAAATAATTACATCGGAAATTACAATACCGAGGTAGTTGTTAGCGAGATCCATGTCGTAAGCATACTAGGCTACTTACAAGGGTCGTTGCACCTCAGGATTTAAGGTTAGCTTTCTGTAACTGTTGTATTAAAAGAGTCCCTGTTTTTTGTAGGGATGTGTGGGTAAATTTTAAGATTTAGAGGTCGCCTTATGTGAGGAAATATTATTACTGTTGTAAAAATATGCTATTTTTATGGCTTAAAATGGTCAATATAAGGGATAGAAGGTATGTAAATATAAACGTCAACATTTCTTTTTCTTGTGTTGGTACAAGTGTGTTCTTTTCTGGACATAAAGTGCGTAAAAAATGTCCCAAACATTTAAAACAGCGAACCTTATTATTAAAAATAATAACACATTTACAAAACTACAAAGGACCAACATTATTTACGAGTTACCCTTTAGGAACAGTGTTCCTGATCAAACCAAATTCATAAATAATTACATCAGTCACACAACTACATGCCTATCCAGACGACTTACTTTACACCTATCCAACCAAAGTTCTATTAGAGCTCATTTAAACACACACAAAAACGTAGCAGACTCCATCCGAAACATATTAGTAGAGAATACGCGCATAATAGTTTAATCTATATGTATAAAAAGATTTAAAATTATGGAAGTCCTAATAATAAAAAAGCAAAAAAAAAGAAGAAAAAAGCCAATAGCATTTACTATGAATACGGCCACAATTTGCTGACCGTATTTGGAAAATAAAATGTTCTTATAACTCTAGATACACCCATAATACAACCTATACATTCAGTTACAAGTAAAATAAAATCATCCTTGATAATGGCTAAACGTATAGACGAAACCGCACGGAAATGTAGAACTTTTGGATAGCTTTTACACACTTGTAAGAACACAAGAAAAATTAAATAAAACGGTTAATTACAGTGCCTCGCCAGTCGTCTTTAACGAAACATGTATAAATACACAATATATATATATATATATATATATATTGAGGATATATATATATATATATATATATATGCATGTTTCATTAAAAACACCAACAAGGTACTATGGTTTAACATTTTTTATTTAATTTTTTCTTAACTGTTCTAACAAAAATTCTTTTCTGGACAAAAGACAATGGCCTTTTTTTGTACTAATCGACAGTCGAAACAATAGTGTTCAAATAAAAAATCGGATGCAATCACAGATTTCTCACTATTTTTCGAGGCCAAACAAATTTTCATCAAGAACCCCGAAAATAGATTTATATTACTGCACACCACTGGAAAAAATCTAATCTGAGGAAAAAAATAATAAATAGAAATCGCTTACACCGTGTCACACCAGTGGATCTAAAACTGACCGTAGGCTGAAAGAAAGAAAACTAAAGCGGTTGTTTCAATTAATTTTCACAAGGGTGTATTCGTGGATATACAGTATGATTTTTTTTTTTTTTATGTACGGAGGAAAAAGTCATGATGCCATTTCTGACCTTAGGCCTTTGGTTGGTACTTGGAAAGAATTGCGAATAGAATAGAAATCAAAGAATATAATAATAATAATCTTCAAAAACTATCAAAATACAAGGATCGTGAAGTAGAAATTTCAAAAATGTGGCCCATAAGAACATCAGTAATTCTAGTTTTAGTTGGAACCCTCGGATTGATTGGAAAAAATACCGATAGCCTTATTAAAGTGGTTTTTTGTTAGCCCATGCCTTAAAGAAATGCAAAACAGATTTACTCATAAGTACTGCTTACACATTACTAAGACCTTTATTTATGTAAAATTTGTGTGATTCTGGGGTTTCCGTTTTTCTTTTATTTATTTATTTTTTTTAACAAAAATGATCAATGGAAAATATCATGAAGCCATTTCTGACCTTAACTCTCTTATAGAACAGAAATCAAAGGAAATAATAATAATAATAATAATAATAATAATAATAATAATCAAAATACAAGGGCCTTGAAATAGAAATCTCGAAAATGTGGCATATGGAAACATCAACATTCCTGTTGTAGTTGGAGCCCTAGAACTGGTTGGAAAAGATCGCAGTAGACTAATTGAAGGGTTTCCTGGAAGTCCATGCCTCAAGGAGATACAAAAAAATTGTCCTGACAAGTACAGCCCACACTTTACGAAGGGCTTTATCTATGTAATATTTTTTTTTTTTTTTTTTTTGTCAGTGGAAAGTGTTATGATGCCATTTCTAACCTTAGGTCCCTGGACGGGACCCGGAAAGAAATGTGTAAACGCCAGAAATCAAAGAAAATAAAAATAATCATATTTCAAAATTATTACTCTTTAAAATGCTTAGTCAACATTAATATTAATAAAAGCAATAACAATACTACTACTAATAATAAAAATATTAATCTTGGAGAATTTGAAATTTGAACGGTTCACTCTGTTCAGACCAAAAGAGTTCGAAGCAAAGGGGTGGGGGTCGAGCAAAGAAAAATGGGAAATAAACAGAAAGACATAAACGGGTAAATATGAGGATCTTTTCAGTAATTCACTTAAACAAGTGAGCAACGAGGACGTTCTAAGGAAAATAATAAAAAACAAGGAAACTTACAATCACAAAGAGTATCTGTCTATATTTCTGAGATGAGGTATTAATACACTATTTATCTATTCGACTATTGTCCTATATCTTTGATTAACATTTATTACAACGTTTCATACATTTTTAAAATCTGACTATTTTTGAGATGAGGTATTTGTAATTTACATTATTCAGATTAAACATCTTTGTCGCCATATTTTTATAACGTTTCGGCCTTTATAACGAGATGAGGTATTATGTACACTATTTACATTATTCGGACTATTGTCCTCATCTTTGTCGCCATATTTATTACAACGTTTCATTTTTTCAGTATCTGTCTATATTTCTGAGATGAAGTATTATTCACTATTTACATTATTCGGACTATTGTCCTCATCTTTGTCGCCATATTTATTACAACGTTTCGGCCTTTCAGTATCTGTCTATATTTACTGAGATGAAGTATTATGTAAACTATTTACATTATTCGAATATTGTCCTCATCTTTGTCGCCATATTTATTACAACGTTTCGGCCTTTCAGTATCTGTTTATATTTCTTAGATGAAGTAATAAAAAGTACACTATTTACATTATTCGGACTATTGTCCTCATCTTTGTCGCCATATTTATTACAACGTTTCGGCCTTTCAGTATCTGTCTATATTTCTGAGATGAAGTATTATGTTTTTATTTACATTATTCGGACTATTGTCCTCATCTTTGTCGCCATATTTTTTTATATTTCGGCCTTTCATAGTATCTATCTATATTTCTGAGATGAAGTATTTATGTACATATATTTACATTATTCGGACTATTGTCCTCATCTTTGTCGCCATTTTTTTACAACGTTTCGCCTTTCAGTATCTGTCTATAATTCTGAGTTGAGGTATTATGTACACTTAATTTACATTATTCGGACTATTGTCCTCATCTTTTAACCATATTTATTACAACGTTTCGGCCTTTCAGTATTTGTCTATAACTCTGAGATGAAAACGCTATGTAATTAAATTTACATTATTCGGACTATTGTCCTCATCTTTGTCGCCATATTTATTAAAACATTTCGGCCTTAAATCATCTGTCTATATTTCTGAGATTTTAGTATTATGTTTATTTTACATTATTCGGACTATTGTCCTAATCTTAACATGTTAGGAATGCGTTTTCACAACATTGCCCACGTGACGCCGACGTGATCATATTGAAACGGAAGGCTGATCTTGAAAAAAAGTCAGTTGTCTGTTTTGATTAGTCTTACTCTTATGTCCATCGTCTTTTTCATGTTGAATTAAATATAGTCTAATGTTAATTATGTTTTTATGAATATGTCCTGAAGATGGTCGACTAGACCGAAACGTCCGACGTTGACATTATATTAACATTAAAACAGCATAATTGCATATTAGGATTTTTGTTTGTTTTTTCCGTATATTTTTTTTCACACACACACATACAATATACATATATATATATAAAGTATAGAAATATATATATATATATATATATATATATATATATATATATATGAATAAAGACAAAATATAAAATTATCTGTCAAAAGTGTCTCAATGAAAATTTATGTGAAGGCCCTCAAAGGACGAAACGCGACTAAGATAAATTTTCCTTTTGGCTTTATTTATAAATTGTTCTTTTACAGATATAATCTATCTGAAATTTTTACACAACACACACATATACATTTATATATATATGTATGTATATATAAACGTTTAAGGTTTCATTTATTTAATTTTGATATTTTCTAAACATTTAAAATTGCATTTTTTTTTCTTAAGATGTCAACGTTTACTTTCCGGCTAGGAAACTTCTGACAGCAAGGAAACAAAATAAAGCAGAAGTACTTAATCATATAACACAATATACAGGTTTACCTACCGTAGGAAGCTCGAAGAACATTTTTTTAAGGTAACGGGTTCGATCCACGGGTAGGTCCTACTATATATATCTATTTTTTTTTTACTTGCGCCTGGATAACCTATAATCTGACGCACCGCCGTTGAATTATAATTTGCATTAATAGGTTGCTTGATAATCCTGGCCTTGTACCAGGCTCTGTTGATGTAAAGAAATAAGTATATGAAGAGGGCTGTTAAAGACCGACTTTACGTCTTGCAACCCAGTTCACTAGTGTCGTCAGTTCGATAATCACAGAGTGTTCCATTAATTGGTTCTTGCGACAGTCTTTGACTTTAGCCCATGACAACAGATAGATTCTCATGATGCCAACCGTAATTTTTATGAGATTGGTCTGTGAAGAAATATAAACTTCTGTGAAATTTCGGCTTAAAAAGATAATTGGCTGATAGATTTATTTTTTAATTGAATTATTTGTAAGTGTATTGTAAGTGTGCAGAAGTAATGGCAGTGTACGATATGGCGAAGTGCTCCTATGTTGCCTGGTCATGAAGTTGTATCGAGCATGGAAATATGTGGGGGGCAGGGGAGTGTAGTCGTTTACGACACTTTGGTTTGTTTACAAAATACAGAGGGCGAGAGGGTGAAACTGATTAATATATGTTTTATTGTATTTGTTAAATACGAACAGTTTATATAGAGACGTGTTTAATAAATTATGATAGATAGATAGATAGATAGATAGATAGATAGATAGATAGATAGATAGATAGATAGATAGATCATGAGAGATAGTGGAATAGATTATGAACATAATGAGATAGATAGATAATGGACATAATGACATAGATAGATAGATAGATAGATAGATAGATAGATAGATAGAAAGAAAATGAACAGACTGACAGATAGATAGATACTGAAGTGAATTAGATAGATAGATAGATAGATAGATAGATAGATAGATAGATAGATAGATAGATAGTAATTCTCAAGCAAAATATTGATTCAGTAAATCGAGTTAAACGCAATATTTTGAAAAAATTCGATAAGACTTTGAAGCTCTAGTCCGGTAAATTTTTAATTTCACCGTCTACTTTTTAGTGATTCCAATTCAAATACCATCAGTAACTAAATATAATGTTTATAGTGATAAGGCATCAACAGACAGGCAGACAGACAGATAGATTGGGGTAGATAGATAGATATGAACAGATTGTGATAGATAGATAGATAGATAGATAGATAGATAGATATTAATAACCATAGTTAGATAGAATATGTCAAGAACACTTACACAAAGAAGCAAACTTCTGACATCGGCATTTAAATGTTCCTCTTCGGGTTTTTTTTTGTGTATGAAATTGGCGGGAAATATTTAAAAATATAC